AAAACTGTCTCCAAAAATCTTCTATAGTAGGAGAGAAAAAAATGGACAAGTTCAAAAAATTCAACGCGCATTCCTTTCCGGACAACCTAATATCTTGACAAGTCGCAAAAGTATCAGTGCTAAAGCTAGGACGTCACCCGGAAGTGGCGCGCAGAACCCTCGCCCGAGTTCTGTGGTCAGTATGCGAGGGCTACCGAGGGGTGAACGACCTCGGCCAAAGAAGCTAGTTCGAATTGGGACCCTGAACGTGGGGTCGCTTACCGGGAAGTCTCGTGAGGTTGCCGACCTCATGAGACGCAGGAATATCCAAGTCCTATGCCTTCAGGAAACGCGATGGAAGGGTGCGAAGGCCCGCGAGATTGGAGAAGGTGTCAAACTCTTCTACAATGGAGCAGACACCAAACGGAATGGCGTGGCCATAGCGGTGGCAGAATCCCTCAAGGACTGCGTCTCCTCTGTGAACAGGATCAGTGATCGGATCATGGGAGTGAGAATGGACACGAAGGAGGGGTACTGGACAGTACTGACCGTGTACGCACCACAATCCGGTTGCTCCGAGGCCGAAAAGGAAGAACGCTTGCAAAAAACGCTTGCAGTTTTACGTTGACGTCGTCTTTAGGTACAAACGAGGCGTTCGTACCTAACGACGACGTCGACGTGACCGATGTGACTGGATTTGTACGTTCCTGGATACGTGGTTAAGTATCCACTGTGTTGCGGTGTTAGCGTTGTCACGAGTGCTAAGCGTTCTAGTTATGCGTTTGCCGTAAATGTGGTACATCGTCACCTTTTTGGAACCAAACCTTCTTCTCTAAGGAAGGCATTTACATATCAAATGATCGCCGGAAGGCCTAAATAATGTTGGGTTGAATAACCGCTACGGTACGTCTTATGCAAGTGGAGGATATTTTGTTAAATTACTCATTGAATGCGCGATTCCCTAGAGTGTGGTCATACTGTAGTAGTTAAGGCGCCTGGGGATGAATATATATTCAGAGTTAGGAGACAGTTTGATATTTTCAAACTTCGCTGTTCACCCAGTGCACTCCGTGAATTGTCAGCAGTGAGAATGTAAATATTCTCATCCTCTCAGACGACTCTGGAACGAACCTGCCAGTGGAATAGAACATTTGGCTGACTCAGGTGGAATCTCACTGCCCAGCCGCGCGTGTGCTAGGCAGGCCATCTGCCGCTACTTCACTTCAACCCTTCTACCAAACACCTGGGAACGTATTACCAACTCTTGGCCTCCACTGAGTATCAAATAAATTTTGGTTCCTCCTTGCCTGAATGTTTTCATCTTTGCCAGCCTGTCAACTGACATTCAATGCTTCACGTTTCAATCTTCTTAGAGCTTAACAGGAGTTGAAACAACCCGAGACCATCCGATCAAACGTCTCTGGATCACTGCGGGAGTTCGTGCTCAGTTAGCCCATCACCTACTACGCAGTCTGGAAAAGGAACAAAAAAAACGAAATTCCCCGTTAAAAATATTTGCGCTAGTACATGTCAATTAATAACCACGAAAAGAATCCAAGAGATCAAAAATACAGCCACTGCTGATGAACGTATGAAAAGGTGCCCTGGCTGGCTATGGTGACATTTCAGAACATTGCACCCTGACTCTTCGCCTCATTGTAAGCAAGAGCAACTGAAACCATACTCCAGAATTAAGCTTTGTTTGCTTGACTAGTTCGGCTTCGTACAGGGGAACGGATTTTTGGGTACTTTCAATCGACGTTTCCTCTAATGGTGAGCGTTCCTTCATGCAAACCATCTCAGAGCACTCACTCCAAGATTAATAGAGTTGGAGTAGGATGACTGCGCTTGCTTGCGCAACATCACGATGGCAGGTGACTGGGTCACTGCTCACAGCGACCTCATCCATTTACTCCAGCTACTACCAAAGCAATTATTTTCGGGTCAGGCAGGTAGCCCCGTCTCGACACGGCGTGGTTGTAATGCATTGGCGACGGTCAATGCCTTTGTAGACTTCCGCAAGCTTTTTGTCCTTCTTGTCTTTTTTAATGTTCGTTCTTGATTTTTGCTTGCGAACCAAGCAGCGCTCATAGTTCGCGATTCTATGATCTTGCGAATAACGAAGGTCTTCTCTCATAATTCTTAGGCGTCTATTGGCAGTCAGTTACAACTTCGGTTTCTTCTAGAATCACGTTGTGTTCTGAAAATCCGCACTTACCTAGTTGTGAGAGACGGGAATATCAAAGAATGACTTTGAGTGAAAGTCGCGATTTTGGTAAAGCTTTCAGTAACATTCCTTGCACTTGTTTATTTCGACAAGAGACTTTTTGTTTCTAGCAACCTGGAAATAATGAAGTGAATCAGCATCGTTTCACATTATAAACCTATCCTTTAGACTTTGGCTATGCTTTGCTAGCCTCTCATTGCTTCATTACGGTAGGATGAGCTATCAACCGACTTCCCATCCACGTATCTCTGCAAGATTTACGATGACAGTGGGAGCAGAGGCCAGATTAGGGCGGACACAGTATGCTAAGTTTGGAAGTTGCTTTGGAGTAGGCAACTTGTAGGAGCGAAGGTTCAGTCCTTCTGCGGAAAAGCAGTGAGATAATCGCGTGACTAAGTCATAGAAGCTTCCGCTATAGTTGTGTAATTAACTTTGATGGTCAAGTTTTTCTGCCTGTCTGAGGTGAATATTGCCTACCTAGCAGAGAAAGTCAACATGATTGCTCGCATAGTGACCACTTTAGCCACTTAACTAATCCTACCATCACTTTGTGTATTATACCTGTCAGTGCAAACAATTAGAAGACTCGTCTTAGTGTTACACCTCTTCCAAAACTATCCTCAAACGATTCTAATTTACTCATCCAGATTTCTATCATGCTCAGATTAGGCTGCTCATTCTGGCTGAGAGGGGTCCGGACTTTATCAAAGCAACTGAACTGACCTTACAGGTTATGTATAAACCAACCCGCAACTATTTCCAAAAAGCTACCGACGGCTGCGTGACCCCGGGCAGAACCAATGGCACCTCTAGCGTTCTCATGTCACTCAGCGATGAGAGCTTTGTATATGGCTGCCAGTGGGGCTGTCGAGCGCATCTCACGGGTAACCCAGTGGAGCTTTTCATTGACAGTATATTCTGAACTCACTGCCTTTCTTTCTCTAAGAAGACCATTGAAGAGGGAGGCTCACTCCGGAATATTTAGTTCAGTTTATCTTGAAGGCGGAGGTGGTGTAGTGACAAGTGGCGCGCTTACCACTCGCGCGGTCCTGGGTTCGAATCCCAGGTCGACACCCGCCCAGGCCAACCAAGCCTTCTACCCTCCGGGGACGGTAAATTGGTACCAGATTCGTCTGGGAGGATAAAACACTGACTTGTACATCGGCTGGCCACCGCAAGTCATTGTATAGGCCACATCGCATTCAATAAGCCACTACGATTCTGAATGGAAGTAGAATGCGTGCCGCATCCCACAAAGGGATTGATCAACGGCGAAGACTTTATCCTTTATCCTTTATCTTGAAACTGAGGTGGAAGGGGTGTAGCGACAAGTTGCACGCTTACCAGGCGCGCGGTCCGGGAGTTAAATCCTGGATCGTCTCCCGGCAAGGCCAACCAAGCCGTCTACACTCGAGCGTGCCACCTTGGAGATTCGTCTGGGAGGATAAGGATACTACTCATGCATTGACTGACCTCAGCAAATCATTGTATAGGCTACATCGCATTCAGCAAGCCATAGAATTCTCAAAGGAAGTGGAATGCGTGCTGCATACCGCTGAAGGATTAATCAGTGGTGCACATTTTATCCTTTTGTATTGAAACTAACGACACATCAGTGCTGCAGAGCGTGCTATTTTGCGACACATACACACTAAACAGATAATGTTCATTAGAGTAGAGGTGTTCTAGTGGGAAGTAGCGCTGGATACCACACGCATGGCCTAGGGGGCGAATCGCGGTTGGCTCCAGGCCGAGCCAACTTCGATGCGTCTGGGGTCAACTAATTGGTACTGGACGTATTATGGAGTGCATCGGCTAGCTTTTAAAGTCATTGTTGAAGCCAGTCATACACCGTGGCACCGCCAGACTGAACGGAATTAAGTGACATGGCGCATTCCCAAAAGGATTGGATAACAGCGAAAGCTTTTCGTTGCTACTCGATCTATTTCCATAAAGCATAATAACAAAGGCTCATTCCCTTTTGCGAATTTTATATGCTGCGCAAGAATCCCGACCGTCCTGTTCGCAATTCCTTTGTAACTGTTAGCGGTACTCTTTGTAGCTGCTTGTCATATCGTGCAGTGCCAGCTGTTCGCGAAGGCCAGGGAGGCCCTCTCGCAAACACTGTTTTCTACATATGTCGAGATTACATATCTTTGAACAATTTCAACTGCATGGTATTTTCAGATGCGGCGCTATCACCTACTAGATTTACCGCCAGAACTGATCGTCAGAATCCTGCAAGAAGTAAGATCCACGTTCACGCAATACTTCAACTCGGTTCTCACAGCCACAACCGTTTGCTTTTCTCCCCACCCTGCCCCCTCCTGCACCACCACCACTCGATGTACCATCATTTTAAGAATGTGAAATCTTTTTTCGTCATTTCTTCCTTGCACATCCCTTCCTTTGCACAACTTTTGGAAGAGCTCATAGACTGCAGGTGTAGACCGCAGAGGTAGTGAGAAGCGGTACCTTTTGCACCAATAGCAGTGCATCAAAACAATTTTTTTCTGAAGTCACATCCCCTTTTCCAGACCAAGCAGACTCCCTTCTCAGGGGAATAAGCTGAGACTCCCTTCCAGAGCGATTCGAACACGACATTCCTCGTTGAACTGTAAGACGATATGGATAAGCATCCGTTTTTTGTGCTCCCATCGAATAAGGAATTTTGGGCAGCCGTGTTTGATAAATTTATCAAATGGTCAAGTCACTACTCTGTGGCGCTTAGTCAATGCACAGATTGAGCGGTATCGTTCTCGTTCACGGGTGCTGGACGTTGCATCCACGCATTACAATAGGTAAGCGCACATTTGCTCGCAAAGTTCCTGACATTAAATTGGAAGAAGATGCATTGCTATTTCAACCTAGATATAGATTTATCTGATTAGTACACCCCACTATCGTTGGGCTTTCTCCTATGGGAAGGGACATATTTGACTGCTGGAAGGGGGGGGGGAATATCGCAAGTGAGTAGTTTGTCAGCAAAATACAAACAAAGGTGACATTGTCACGAAACTTACAATTGTACAGAGTTGCAGTTTGGAAGTACTAGATACAATTTACAACTTGAGCAGAGCGTGGCTAAGCCATGCACCTTTCTGAACCCGTAACAACGCTCTTGCGAAAGAATTCCTAAAATTGCCATCCTTCTACCCCAGATTGAAGGCCTAATGCGTGGCGATCTCGAGTGAGCTAGTGCGAGCTGAACCAAGACCAGTGCTTCTTTTGACCACAAAGAGTAGTGTTCTATATACATTTTGGGTATTCATAATAGGTCCACTGAAAGACTTGAAGAGTATTTTCGCGCAGCCTGAAGTTCTCCAGTTGAATTACCATATCCATATCCGCAGATTTGGAGATGAGTCAGCTTTTTCAAGAACGAGGAATGTTTCGGCACTATTCTACTATACTACCTCAATTCCGAACGGGACCGGTTTGATCGACTTTTTTCTACGGGGGTAGATTTGGCTGAAAGTTGGGTTCTAGGGGTAATTCGACCTCCTGAACACGAATATCACATTCGCTCCTCCCGAAACGATGCGCCACGCACAGGCGCAGCGCCAAAGTACCCTAGATCACGAAATCCGCTGAAAACTTGTACCTAGGTAGTTTGACCTCCTAATCACGAATATCACATTCCCTCGGCTTGAAACCGCTCCGCGTCCGCGCTACGGGCGCCGGCGCCAAAATGCCCCAAATCACTGGCGCCTATGGCGCGGGCGCCAGGCAATTTCAGGCCAAGTGGATGTGATATTCGTGTTCAGGAGGTCGAATTACCCCTAGAACCCAACTTTCAGCCAAATCCACCCCCGTAGAAAAAAGTCGATCAAGATCCGGCCTGTTTTCGCAAAACTGGGGTAGTAATAGTTGAATAGTGCCATCTTTTCTTTCCCAGAGCTGCTTTGCAAAGAATAGCGCCGAAAAACATTTACCGTCGTTCGAATCAGAAAAACTCGCATCCATTATTTCATCCCATTCGAAAGTGGAGAAGAGGAATGGCAGGAAACCAAAGGGGATAGGGCTGTAGGCTGACATATCGTTTGAGAGGAGGAGAAAATGGCGTCAGAGGTGTCACTCATGAGTTCCAGAACCCTTCCGTCACTTAGTGGGAAGCCTGCAAAGGGGTCGTGTACAAGAAAGAACGCCCACCAGCTTCTCGAGTGCGGGAACTGTCTTCCATTTCGAGTGACCCGTACACCGCAATCTACATTTCCCACGTCGTTTGGATATTTGAATTTTTTACAAGCCAATTACTTTGAAGCTGTACCTTCACTATTCGTTGTTACGAGTGCTACGTTTAGTTCGACGAGCAGTCATTGGGCCGATTGAGACTGGTCTCTCGCTACCTGAATGCGATCATCGAAAGCCATCGAGGCGCCTTGGCAAAGCAGTCTATCTACTTGACCGTATTCAAAGAGGTGAGCAACTAATGAATGGGTCTCCATTTCAATCCCTTATCTCTTTCCTTCAAATCTGGACCTTCTTGGAGTTCCATTAATCACTCTAAATGTCTTCCCAAAGTTGCCGAAGCATTTAAATATGTTCTCAAAACTCTGAACATTTCAGCAGGAACTTGTTGTTGAGCGATATTTGAGAAGAAGCCGATGGGAGGAATACAAGTATGCCGTTTCGGGACAGTATTTCGATAGTCCTGCCTTACGCCAGCTGGAATGTGCCAACATCGGCACCCTACGGTTCGAGGTAGGAATGTATTGTATTTTATTGTATTTATCCATTGGCTGCGATAAAGACTCCCACATCCTGTTCGCTCATGCCGCTTAGCTGTCGTCTTTCGAACGTAGCGTGTATAACCGTACTGCTGATAGCCGGCCTACAGGATCAAAATTGTCTGCACCTGTTTTTTGTCGAAACCTCGTTTCAGGTTACTCTATCGGACAAGGATGCCATCGAATTGGCAGAACGCATTGGGACATTGAAATCATCGGTGTACCAAGTGTGTTTTTATAGATGTCAATTTAGCCCTAAGGGCATCATCAGCTTACTCGCAGTGCTGCGGCCACAACAAGTCACCATAGAGTTCGAACATGGTTTCGAAGGCATCAGCTTTGAGGAGTTGTGCAGTAACGTCAGCTTTCGAAAGGTTCGTACCACTTTTCATCGATTTCAATGAAATACTGATCAGACGCTGATACAAATACTGCATTAAGCTGAAAAGCAATGAGCAGTAACTTCTGGGTACAGCTTTTTGATATCTTAGTTTTCTCCATAAACTATGTTCGTTAGAGTGGGATTCGATATTATACCCATGAAACTAATGCCAGTTCCCGTTCTTCCAACCCGCTCATCTACCAAATCGAACACAAACAAGAAGAAGACGACACAGGCGCGCCCCACGCCAATCGCATGGGCGGAGTCCCTTGCACAAGTGCCCATCTCTCTCTCCCTCTCTCTCTCACTCTGATTGTGCTGTGTGCTTTGTCCACCTGCATATGGTTGTTGCGATTCATCCCTCAGGATTGTCAAGGGGGTCGGCGGATTTAGTTCCAAGCACAGCGGACAGTTACCCGCTTGTGCAGGCCTAAAATGGTGAGAGGTGCGAAAACGATTTTGATATGTTGAGTTCGAGAAGACTTTTGAAAATGTTTTCATGTTATCGAAATTCAAAAGAAGTAATAAAAGCAAAAAGAAGTTGGATGGTGAGATGGATTTCTGCCAGACGGTACATTTTCCAGTCATCACTGCAGTAGAGTTTGAAAGCACCATCCGCAACAAACGGACGGGAAAAATGGGCGGTGGAGAGACAACCATGCTGCCTCCCTCACCCCTGTGCGCTTCTTATCTACCGTCCATCTGATTATCGCGTATGAGTCTTGAAGCATGGAGGATTGATTGAAGTTCTGTCAATCTTAGACAGAGCTCAATCTGCTCTGTGTTGATGTAATAACGGAGTAAGTTAGTAAGCCAGGGATCGTAGACAATAGTCGTTGATGTACATGGGACTCAAGTGCTGTGAGCTTTTCCATCGAGTGAATTACTGCAATGACATCCCATTCCATAAAGCCTAGGGTTGAACAGTGAATGCCGACAGCGTATCCCACCTGTATCGCCCTTTGACCGGCTGATTTCTACATTATATATACTGCACGCTGACTTTGACTGATTTTACAAGCTTTCAGATCAGACACTTGAACTTCGTTAATTCCTATCTAACTGACAACGACCTTCAACTAATCACTGCCGAGCAGTTAGCCGTCCAGGATAGATCAAATCTTACAGCCAGTGGTCTCCGAAAAATCCTTCTGGTGAGAGCTTCTCATTCACGCGTTCCACCATTCATAGTGCATGACATAGCGTTCCATCTCATTTCATACAGCTGATTTCATTTTAGGAATGGTACGACGGCAGAAGGACTATCCAAGACTATTTTCTGACGGTATCAGGACGTATCATACCTGAGAGCCTCTTTCACAACTTACCCACCCGACGACGTTCCATCATATCGTGGGAGCTCAGAAATCCCAATACTGTCCTACATGTCAACATTTATGGTCCTGGTGTAAGCATAGTTAGTCTGTAATGTCATGAAATTCTATTTATTTGTATCTTCACACTCATTAGCGTCTTGGTAAGCGCTCTAATAATTACTCACTTTATTTTGTCCACAAAATCAAATTCCTACCAAAGAACAGCGGTCATACTTATATTCATTCCATATGCTAGAGCTTGGATTTATAGAGCACCGCGCTTGCTCCGTTTCGCCCCACCCGCGATATGGACTGTAAATGGTTCAGCAAATCCTGGCAAATGTAAATAGGGAGCGCCTGGTCCTCACACTAGTAGCGTGAGTTTGTTTCCCACCTCAAAATTTGTCGAAATTCTCCAAATGAGTCTATAAGGCGAGACTGAGGGAAGCTCCGGGTAATAGCCGAGCGATAACGTAGATTGGGATATGGAAGTAAATGGGGAGCGTACGAGAAACCAAGGTTCAGGCTTAGCAGAGCACAGACGACCAGAGTCGGTGCTAACTCATCTCCTAGACACGCAGACACGCAGTCATAACCTTTGCAAGTGATAAGGCGTGGTCATGGCTTGGAGAGCTTGAGCAGATTCCCACCAATTATAACGAGCTCAATATGGCATCATTGTTGGAACAGGACCGCCCTAGCTGCGGTCCCTACGCTCCGCGTCACACGCCCTATCGTTTCTAGGGATTGCGATTGTGTGTAGCTGAACCGCCGCGTCCCCCACCACTCCCCCTAAGCTACATTAGCGTCTAACGCGACTTAATTAGTTCCTATTGACAAAGCTTGAAATTTATTTCATTCTGTTATGTTACGTTCGTCATTCTAATCTCACACTCTCAGTTTGTACTTGACCTACCAGCCACGTCTTTCCTGTTCTCTGAATAGATGAATTTAATCTCCATTATTCTACTACGGGTAATCACAATGTTACAACTTCCACAGCTTGTCATAATTATTGTTTACTCTCTTCACATAATGGTAGTGATTTCCATCAACTCCATCAAGAGTACAGCACCTGTCTGCTATCACTAGTACAGTATCCCAACAACCTTTCATTTTCATAAAAACAAGTCTGACTTTTACGAGGTGTAAATAGATGGTTTTTCTATGGAAGAAATAAATATACTTTGATAGGGCTATGTTCTGTTGAACCATTTCATGAGATTAACGAATTTATTAGTGGTTTCCGTTACGTGGAGAGGTTACCACACCGTTCGAGCACTTTTTTTATGCGACGTTCGCTTGCTGAGCGTGGTTCAAGGAGGAGAAAAACCAGTAGTAGAGAACGCCGCAGTCAGGCTCATTCCACGCCTCCGGATATCACCCCGCCAGACTGCGACGATAAAAGGAAAAGTCTAGTAGTTGATCGACTCCCCCGTGGGATGTGGCCTTATTGAATACGATGTGGCCTATGCAATGACTTGCGGGGCCTACCTATGTGCGAGTTAGTGCTCTTATCCTCCTAGACGAGTCTGATGGCAATTTACCGTCCCCAGAAGGAGGAGGAGGGGGGTGAGGGGGCGGGGGGGGTAGAAGTCTAGTCGACCCGGGATTCGAATATAGGGCCACGAGAATGGTAAGCGAACCACTTGTCACCACACCACCTCCGCCTCTTCGACGGTATCAAGTGTAATCAGTCGAACTCTCGTCACGGCATCTCATGCAAACTAACCAGTATGACAATACAACGCAGCACTGTCATCCTAACGATGCTTTTGCCGTGCTCTTTACGACTCAGGACTAGTACCTCGTAAGGCCGCTTGTGTATGGACAGAAACCGACTGAATGGGTGACGAAAAGAATCGAATCGACTATTGAGAACAACTTTCTTCACATGTGAGCTCTTAAGAAACAAATTTAAAGGCAGCGCCCGCGTTCAAATTTATGAGTATGCGGCTCAGGTAGTAACAGCGAGGTAGCAAGAAGCCTATTAGTGAAGAAAAATCAAAGAGAAAACACGCAAAATGCCCTAGAAGGAGTTTCATACCGAACAACGGTTGTACGTGCTTAAGGCGAAGAGAAGGAGTGATTGCACGAGTTTCCACTTGTTCATATCAGCTGTTTTCCCTTATCACCTCACTCTCACCACTCCACGTGGAGAGAAGCAGCAATGGAACAACCGCACCATCAGGCAACCATTAGAAATGAAGTTGGGTGGCGTGGTCGGCAGGTGGGCGGAGCCGTCGGCTCTTTGCGGGCGGACGCCGCTGTTCCGTCGCATTTTTGGGTTGCGAAACATGCACGTCCACCATCCTCATAGGGGGAGCTACTAGGTCCAGAGAGGGCGTGAGAACAACAAATGAATGCGGGCGCTGCCTTTAACAATTCCGAGATCTAGGAGACTTCCCCTTTCCGAAGAGCACCTCACTTTCTTCTCACGCCCACGACTAAAGGTCTCTTGTGTTATTGTTGTGACAAGTTTCGAACGACACGAAATATCCATTTCACCGGCACAGTGCCATTTCCAGTTTGTTTGAAGAACTGGGTAAACTCTAAAATATCTCTTTCGTCGGAATTATTAGGAAACACTCAGCGCTGGTTGGCATCACTTTCATGCGCCACGCATTCTTCTCCCACACGCAGAGATGTTGAAAGGTCCAACTACCAAGCTAAGCTCCATGCAATCAGATGTGCTCCTACGATTCAGAAAGGTCCGAGTGTATAAACAACTCCCTTGTTATTTTCAATTCATGACGTCTCCTGAGCGGCCACCGTACTTGTTGTCACCATCTGTTTCTCTTTTCTGAGCTTGCAGCTTTCATCTGTCATCGTATTTATTCAGGTGTTCTTCATAACAAGAACCATAAATGAATCATTTACCATCAATGACTGTAGAAATTCGAGTATCGCTGCTCTTCCCACTTCTGCATGAGCCCTGAATTTACGGCGCCCTCGTTCGCTTTTGAAAACAACACCCGTTGCGATATTTACAAGGACGGCCCGCCGTCGCGGGAGCGGAAGACACGCGGCGAAGCGTCGAAGTAATCCTTGCCTGTCCAAGAGAAACAGAGTCGGAATGCGCGCGTCCTCGGAGCTGCCTCATCTCGCCACCGCGTTGACCTCCCTGTTCAGCTACTTAGTCCGACGCGAATGACAAAAAAAAACAAAATGACGAACCTTGGAAGAAATGTGTCAGTAAAGACACCATCCGGGATTACTTGGGGGGGGGTCTACAAGAATGACGTAATTATTGAGCCAACTCCAGCTTCCTGCGCTGATTTGACATGCAGCTGACCTCGTCGTTCCGCTTCGAGCCCTATGCGGATCGAGACGCTAGCCAAAGCGAATTTCAGTTGAACCTTTGAATAGAACCAGCATTGAACCCTCATTACAATGTACGTTCAATGTTGCCCACAGCCTATTTACATTTGCCTGCTGCGAATAGCGGGGTGTGCAGCGCGGTTGGGTACGGCGTGCTGCTATCCAGTTCTCTCTACCGTCTCAGGGTGCTTGTCAACCATAAAACCTCCCTCCTCCTTCCTTTTTCTTCTATTTCTTTCCCTTCCTTCCTTCCTTCTCTCTTCCTTGCTCCTTTTCCTTCTCCATTAAACTGCTGGGCCAGTGTATGCGATGAGAAAATGTCTAGGACCCTTATAGCAAGAGCAGTTCCGATTGACAAGAGTCCTCGAAATGGCAGACGGAACGGAAATGGCTCGAAACTTTTAATTTGTTTCCTACCCCACCAAACGCCTTCCCACAGCGTTGTACAACCTGGGATAGTCCCAGGTGTGATTGACTCCTTCGAATGGACGCCACACGACGGAAAAAAATAAATTTATTAGGAACAAAAAAAACGACAACAACGGATGAGAACAATAGTTAGTACAATCTAGCCTATACACAAAGAAGATCAATCCAGCTTCTGGAGCTGGAGCGGAGCAGGAGCAGGGAGAAAACCCAGGCGAGACCCCCCAGCAAGAGAGAGAGAATGAGAGCGTAGACCAAGCTTAAAAAAACCTCAAAAACTGCAGGACGACTCCTGGACCCTCAGTCTTCCTTTTATAGGTCCTCTACTTAGCCTGAGGGAAATTGGCGGGTGTTCTCCATCGCCTAGGGGCAAATATCAGTACCTTTGATCTCTCTCGCCACCCACCGCCAGAGGGGGTTACCGTAATCCTGACCATATCGACACATCGCGCGCAGGGGCTCAACATGATCTCCTCTTCTTTGGGATCTCGCCAGTGGGCCGCCCCCTGCTCCTTTCCCTCTTTGACATGCCTCCCCCTCGGTGTGTCGCCGTCCTCGGCGACCGATCCAGATCAGGAAGACTCAGTCCCTCTGCCCTCCTGCGAATAACTGAGTACAACTCCTTTGCCGCTGCCACTCCTGGATAGGGGTGATAAAAATGGCATGACGCTTCTGGTGCGCCCGGTTCCATGAAAATTTTTTCATCTATTGTCCGAGCCGTCGCCGTTGTTATTACCTGCTCCCTGCCGCCCATCTTCTGGACCGTCTCATCGAGCGTCTTCCAGAGTTCCACCATGGCCACCCACTCCTTCTCGTTCGACGCATTTATAGGGGGCCATGCTGTAACGATTCTTCCACCACTTTCTAAGTGGTTCTTTGCGGTCTCGAGGATGTCCTGGATTACGCTTTTGTTCCCTCTCCTTTCAATGGGGTAAACGATGACCCACGTCGAAAAAGTGGACCACCCCCTCAGTGTCTCCTTCAGCTTGTTGTAGGTCATGACTACCTTCGTGTTTAGCGCTCCCCTTGGCCCATCCTCCTCCAACAACGCAGCCGTTTGTGGTCCTGCAAATCCTGTAGGGCCTTGCTTGAGGGGCCTTGTTTGTCGGAATTCCTCTTGCACATCCTCTTTCACTTGTGCAAATGCAGGCCTGTAGAAATCGATTATACAGTTCTGGTCGATGGGCTCGTGTTTGTGAATTTCCTTCGTGGTGCATATAAATTCTGTCCACTCTGTGCAGACAGAATATGCTACCTTCAAGACTCTTCGGAGTCCTCGGTGTCCAGCGATACGGCACGACTCTTGAACAGCTCCACCTTCTGCGCCATGCTCAGCTCGCTCCGTATGAAGATCGAAGCTGCTTTC